ACTTCTAGTGATTTCAAAAAGATTGGTGATTAATCTAAGCCTAGTGGATTGATGAATTAGCCACTCAACACGTCCAAATACTCAAAAATTAAATCTAGAGTATTGAATTAGTAATTGAATAAAATTTGAGACTAGAGGATAAAATTGACATAAAAGGTAAAACGATAATTTTGCTTTTTGTCATTGAATAGTTATGAGGGTTCACAATATAAGGTTTGCAATTGGATAATTAATAATTAATATTAAGTATTAAATTATTTCTTATACTTATAGTTAATACAAGAGTGCAACCATGAATCTATGGTTGAATGATTTCATCGTTACTAAGCTTGAATTATTTTTAATGAGATTGAGAATAATTATAAGTTTATTGAAGTTTGAATTATTTATGTCTTAATAGATTCCCCACTTAGTGTCATAGAATTCAACTTTTTTAAGTTGGAATGCATGTTTTAATTTGATTAATTAAATTATATATAAAAATGACAACTTTAACATGTTTGTCTTAATTTAGACTAGAAACTTGTTTGGTCTTAATTTAGACAAAAATATATATTTATCTTAATTTTAGACAAGAAAAATATTTTTTGTCTCAATTTAGACGAGTTAAAATATTTTTGTTTTAATTAAAGATAAGAGTTGTCTTAGATTAAGATAATGCTAGGAGGATTCTTGCAAAATGAATCTAGACATCCATGTAAATAAAAAGAGACTCTATGTTTGACTATCACTTTTTTATTTATTATTAATTCTTTTCAAATAAAGATGAATAATAATAAAATAAGAGTTATTATTCAATAAAGAGTTTTATTTTATCAAGAACTCTAAATGATAATTAAAAAATTAAATTATTATTCTTTAATTTTAATTTTAATAATTATGGAGCATGTTTGATGCTTCCATAACTCTATATGGATGGTCAAGATCGATTCAAAGATGTTTGATTTTAATTTAACCTTTGAGGTAAGAGTTTTAATAAAAAGAGAAGAGCTTGGAAGAAAAGAAACATACATACTTTTTTGTTTTAAAATGTTTCAGTCGTTACTTCTCTCCTCTTCCTCCAAAACTTTGCTGTAGCTTTCTTCCTCTCCCTCATTCTTGGTTAAATTTTTTTGAAAGAAAATAGTCATTAATTTTTAAGAAGTATAGATAGGCAAAATCGGTTGCTATCTTGTAGTATTACATTCCACACCATGTCCACTCAAGATTCAAGTTAAAAGCATTCTTGAAGAATAAGTGGTAACTTTGTTTAGTCAAAAAATCATTCATTGGTGTGGTAGTGTTCGGAAATAAAAATCTCAAAATAAAAAGTATATTTTTTTTTACTTAATAGATTCTTATATTTTTAGTATGTGATTATGTTACTTGTAATAAGAATTATGTTTGTTTTTACTTGTGTAATTGGATTGTATGCTTCTTATATAAAACAAATTTTTTAAAATTCATGCATAATTATATCAATTCATTAAGATCCAAATCCAACATAAAGCGCTTTTAGTCGAGATTGTAAAACAAGATGGTTTGATGAAGCCAAAAAGATAGTTTACCAGATGGTTAACACTGGTTTCATTGAACTTTCTTCCTGGGAGGATCCACTTTCCAAAGCATTAGTAGTGTTGGGACTTGATCCATTAGCTGTAAAGTTGAGAAGGGACAACAATGTGGGATTTCCCATGGCAGAATTTTTCGATGACCTTGGAAATGGACTCTATTTAGATACAGACTTGGATGACTATGAGAAAAAAGTAAGCAAGGTTCTTGAGGATTCTATAAGACTTGATTTTAGTTCTCTTATAATGAATGAATGTAGTTCTCGAAATTTAGTAAATGCATTGGGGTTTGCAAATGAAATGATTCTATGGGGACAACAACTGTCTATTTCTGTCTTTACAGCATTTTTGAAGGGGCTTGGTGCCTCCCATTCTCATGACAAGGCAAGTGCCAGTCCTTTTGAAAAAATGCCCAAGTTCATTAATCAGTTGGATCGAGAAACGCTAAATATGCTCATCCAAGCATTCTGCCAGATAGGATTAGCTTACAATGGGATAAGTTTATTTTATGAAATGCTTCGAAGGGACCTAATAATCAACAGTGAGACTTACACTGCTGCAATGAAGGGATTATTTAAGAAAGGAATCTTGAGTGACCTTCATGGTTTCCAGAATGTTGCTCAAAATGACAAATGGTTATCCACATTGGAGGATTGCAATGCTCTTTCCAAATGTCTTTGTCATCAGGACATGCTGAAGCACTGAACCTTTTTGGTGGCATGCTGGTCTCCTACCCTCAACCAAAGTTAAAAGTTTTCAATATCTTCCTCGAGAAGCTGTGCATCTCTAATTTTACAAGTATTGCACATGTGATAGTAGAACTTCTAAGGCAAGGTTGGATTTTGAATCATATGGCTTATAGCCATCTTGTAAGAGGGCTGTGCGATGAGAAAAAAATTTCCAAGTGCCATTAGAGTTTTGGACACTATGCTAGCTGAGGACTTAGACCCATGCTTAGATGTTTCTTTGAGACTAATTCCTTACTTGTGTAGAGTTGACAAAGTTGAAGAGGCTATCACATTGGGAAAGATTAGTTTGCGAGAGTAATCTGCATTTTCTTCTGTCCATAGTGCTTTACTTAAAGGATTTTGTATGAAAGGGAAGCTTGGAGAAGTAGGACTTTTGTTTCAAGATATGTCATCAGAGGGTCTGTTTCTCAATGCTAATATTTATGGTATGCTGGCTCAAGGGTGTTGTCGAGCTAACAATTTGAGATTATTTGAGGAGCTACTTGGTGTCATGATAAGGAAAAATATATGCCTTTCAATCTCTTGTTATCGTAGTTGCGTGTGCTTGATGTGTTCTGCTAGAAGGTATTTCTCTGCATTAAGCCTGAAGGATTTTATGCTAGGACAAAGCCAATCTGACAGCCTTATAATTTATAATATTCTTTTATTCTCTCTTCTCTTGGCTGGAAATATTTTGGCTGTGATTAAAGTTTTAAATGAATTGCAAGAGAAGGGATTGCTACCTTAGGAAGCCACTTATGACTTTCTTGTGTATGGATTTTCCAAGTGCAGAGAGCTGTCAAGTTCTGAGCACTATTTGTTTGCTATGATTTCCATGGGACTTAAGTCATGCAATCGCAGCTTGAGAATAGTAATAAGCCACTTGTGTGATATTGGGGATCTTGAAAAAGCTTTGGAGTTGAGTCAAGAAATGGAATCAAGAGGCTTGCTTCATGGTTCAGTTCTTCAATACAGAATTGCTGGGAGCCTCCTGTCTCATGGTAATCCTAAAAAAGTAGAAAGTTTTCTAGTAAAAATGTTAGATAAAGGTCTTTTACCGAATACAATCAATTATGATAATCTGATTAAGCAGTTTTGTTTTTATGGGAGATTGAACAAGGCCGTTGATTTTCTGAACATAATGTTAAAGAGGGGAAATTACAGTTATGATTCTATTATCCATGGTTTTTGTGCATGCAATAAATTGACCCGAGCTATGGACTTCCATTATGAGATGCTGGATTGGGACTTAAGCCACGTATTAATACATGGGACATGTTTGTTTTGTAAAATTTTCCAAGATGGATGTACTGCAGAAGCAGAAACTACTAATTTCTATGGTTCAATTAGGACAAACTCCAACCAAAGAGATGTACACCTCTATAATCAATGGGTATCACTCTGAAAATAATCTCAAGAAAGCATCAGAGCTAATGCAAATGATGCAACAAAGCAGTTATAAGCCAGACTTTGACACACACTGGTCTCTTGTAAGCAATTTAAAAGACAATAAGAAGAGCAGCCGGCGTTTTCTATCAAGGTTTCTCTCTGGAAGTGGATTTACTTGGAAAAATCATTTTGAGACCGGACAACAATGAGGCAGCAATATAAAGATTAGACTTGTAAGTTAGCAAATGGATCTTTTGGTACAATTTAAATGAAAGTTTTGTGCTTTTGCATACTCAGTGTATGCTGGTTTAGTTATCTTTAACTTGTCTATATGTGTACACCTTAAAATTTTGAACTATACTCAATGGGAAAAAGAAAACGAAAACGAGATTCCTATAGATGTTTCATTTTACCTTGCTTATGCTCTATTCTTCTTCAATGTGCTTCATAGAGCATTTGTGGTTCCTATTTAGTCTTATCCAATCATTTGCAGTTTTGACATTAAAAAGGAGTATTTAACTGGTAGAGTTTCTTTAATCGTATGTTATGGGAGAGTTATCTGGTTTTGTGTCTAAAGTAAAAGGGTCACAGAGAAAAAAACCATGGTCATCCATTTCTTGGTTTGATCTTGTAAAGTTAGCTATAGTCGGGCTAACTTAATATCTACCTATAAGTAGAAGGAAGTCCCAATGAGGCTCTCACATTTGATCTCATTTTTTACCAATTTGAATATCACGTCTTGGGTGTTTCTAGCTGAGGTGTGGTGGTGGGAACAGTTAACAAAGCTTCCATCATCGGTAATTTCTTGGGCGTGGTTTGCATCGATTATGGGTAAAATAGACTTACATCATGGGGTGAAGTTTGGTTTTCTCTATGACCCAACAAAGCATCAGTTTTGCGTATCAATTCAATGTGCTGGTGTCCCCACTATTTTTCAACACTCATTTTCTATATAAAACAAATATCCTATATTTCTCACCAAATAAATACTAATCTTCTTTGGCGTATTTAGGTCAAAGCTTGGATTTCACATGGATAAATTTGGTTGGTGTTTTTTTTTTTTTGTATTTGGAGGGAAAAATTATGGCGGGACTATGTCCTGAGAAAGAAAAACCTTTCAGTTTTGGGTCAGACGTTGAGTTTGGGAAAGAAAAAGTATTCAACTTTGGGTTAGATGTAGGTTTGTGTGTTGCTGTATCTTGGTTTTTGAATCTTTTGCCCGCGTATTATACTCACATGTAAGGTTTTAGTCCTCGTAGGTTTTTCTAGAAGCTTTTTTTTTTTTTTTGCAGATATGTATGCTCGATAGTTTCACTTATCGAGAAGTGGTTTCAACCGATTTCCTTTGTATAGTCCGATACGTGGATGGTTGAAATGGAATCTTTGTTTATTTTTGACCGCTCAATGTAGTATCATTTTTTTCAATTCCTTCATCTGTTTTGTACCTCAATTTTGTCAATTTAGGTGAGAGATTTTTTTGGCTCTTTTTTTGTTTTTGCGGATATGTATGCTCGATGGTTTCGCTTATCGAGAAGTGGTTTCAACCGATTTCCTTTATATAGATGTATGCTCGATGGTTTCGCTTATCGAGAAGTGGTTTCAACTGATTTCCTTTGTATAGTCTGATACATGGGTGTTTGAAATGGAATCTTTGTTTATTTTCAACCGCTCAATGCAGTATCATTTTTTTCAATTCCTTCATCTGTTTTGTACCTCAATTTTGTCAATTTGGGTGAGAGATTATTTTTGGCTCTTTTTTTGTTTTTGCAGATATGTATGCTCGATGGTTTCGCTTATCGAGAAGTGGTTTCAACCGATTTTCAATTTGGGTGAGAGATTATTTTTGGCTCTTTTTTTGTTTTTGCAGATATGTATGCTCGATGGTTTCGCTTATCGAGAAGTGGTTTCAACCGATTTCCTTTGTATAGTCTGATACGTGGGTGTTTGAAATGGAATCTTTGTTTATTTTCAACCGCTCAATGCAGTATCATTTTTTTCAATTCCTTCATCTGTTTTGTACCTCAATTTTGTCAATTTGGGTGAGAGATTATTTTTGCTCTTTTTTTGTTTTTGCAGATATGTATGCTCGATGGTTTCGCTTATCGAGAAATGGTTTCAACCGATTTCCTTTGTATAGTCTGATACGTGGGTGTTTGAAATGGAA